GCTTTATTTAAATCTATGAGGTCAATAATCTTTCTTTGGGCTTTTCGCTTGTACGTCTACCTAAACATCTGCAGTTTTCGATAGTCCACTCCTATAAGTCCTTCTCTTTAAAACACATTTACAGTTCTCAATAATAGTTAGTCAAAGTGAAACAGTACCTACTACTAATACTGTGTACTACATAAAAGGTGAAGGTATTACACGTATGTATGTGACAAAATTTCTAAGTACCTATACATTGGAGTTACACCGACCGCTTAATTAGGCGTTCTCATAAAAGTACTTAAAGTAATTAATTACATCATAAACACAAAACACTTAATCCATAGTCACAGGAGCCATCGAAAACTGGCGGGTGCGGGTTTGTCACAAGAGACAAGCTAGCAGGGGGAGGAGCACTTAGATTTACGACCAACAACTTGGTCCGCACTTAATTTATGACGAGAAACTTTCCTAGCACGTAAATAATAGTGTTCAAACGAATTAGCAAATTGGGCTATGTCCAGTAATAGATTGTGTAGATTGTTTTGTACATCACTACAATGTGCTGCTAAAGGAACATTCGTGCGAAAATAAATACTATCGAAATAATTTGAAAAAGAAATTAATTGAACAACGAATATTAAATAAATCATGAATGCGTAGTGGGTGTAGTGTATAACTGACGCACTGTCTCACTTTTCCACCTCGATATTCATAGTCTTACTCGTAAGGCCGCACAAGTTCCTGCATTATTTTTTCATGAACTCTAACATTAATTACCTCAATCTTCACTTAATATCGATGATTTTTTATGCCTATTTGCATTTTTCTTCATCTAGATTTTGTATTATGTAGTACGTATGTACCTACATTATTGATGTCTAACCTTTTTCAAAGACGACCAACGACAATATTTCGAAGTAATGTCTGTTCTGTCTCGTCCGTTAATTTTCTTGTAAATAATTAAGCAAGAACACAGAATATTTTATTCGTGAATTTGGAAATGAGTTATGTTTATCATTAATTACTTATTCATATAATCATGGTCTCTGGACATCTGTGAGATCGTTATGTTTGTTAATAGATAGATATATAAATTGTTACCTCTAGTCACCTCATTATTCATTTTCGCCTAATGACACTTTTTTCCTAATCGGGTCACATACATATGGATATTTTTATAGGTCAATGGTTATATTTTTCGATGTCATCGTCATAAAATAATGAAGCCATAATCATAATAGCCTTTATGATTGAATATTTCATATCATAGACGGAGTTTGATATCAAATCCAAAACTTACCTTTTTTTAAGAGGAAAATTATTTAGCAAACTATTATCAGACTCTTGCTGCCTAAAAATCAACGTATTCTTATCCTGTTCTGAACATCTTTGCATTTCATATCAGCTACAATTTTCGATTCGACTGAGAATAAATTTTACTATACTTTTCGACTGAGAATCCATTTGTCGTAATCTTGAATGAGTCACAAGGGTGTCCTACATTACACCTATTAGCTAATCTCTAATAATACGCAATTACTGTTCGAGAACACGGCGATATTAGGCGCGACATGATCATACAATACCTTACTTCAACCCGTTATGTGCAAACTTTATCAATTTAATTCGCAACTAAAGTCTCCTTCTATTTGATTTACATTTCCCACAAGCATTGTTAAAATTCGTGAGGTTTAGTAATATCGTAATAAAATTACTATAATTAATCCTTGTTGAGTTAGAAACGTTCTTTAAACAAGGATTTTGTAATTTTGTTAGCCATCAAGTTGCCCTTGAGACAAGGGCCTTCAAGAGTCCTTCTGGCTTCCCATTTTCTCGCGAAACAAGATCAATTTTACCTCATAACTAGACTAGAGAAACACGGAAATAATCAAAATTTGCGAATATTTAATGATCATAAATTTGTCGATTTCTTTGAAGCGACATAATTTATTTAGTAAAACATTATCTTTAACGTTTTAACCTTAATTTATTCGGAATTTTAATTAATTCGTAACACAATAGCCACAGGGCCACTTGAACCAATTCATGATTTATTTACCTAAATAAGTGAATATACTACTTTGTTTATATCTGTAACAAACTGTGTTTTTTTGTTAGGGGAAAATCATCTAATGACTTCTCCCGGCCAGTGTCGGGTGGGAGGGAGTGTCAGATTCTTACTGACTAGAAACACCCCGTTCCTTCTCCAGCTCTGAGCCCAGGCCTCAAACCTGGCTAAACATCAGACTTGTAGGGCCTCGTCTGAGGTTGCTCTAACTCTACGCGCCGTACTCAGTTCTGGTTCAGGTCGGGCGGCGAGTTACGGCAGACTCGCGCTTACGGTGGACAATGATCGTCTCTCGATCCCCGACGCCCGGAGTGTCGCCTACTGCGGCGGCTTGGGCGTGAGGAGAACATACCACCATATGCTCCACCGTGTCTGCCGGATGGTCCTAACAATGACGACACTCTACCGTGTCTTCTGGAAGGTCGTGACAATGACGACACTCGGGAACAAACTGTGTACTAACAGAGTTTGTTTTATAGTGTAGGTACTTGGTAGTTCTCCTTGAAATTGTGTAAAGATATTTACAATTATATTATTGCTATTTTCAACATACAAACATATAGGGTTTTTCAATTATAAGCAGAGCTAAATCTAACTAAATTTAGACATCGTCCATTAATTTCGTTTTATGTGTATATTTTGCGTTCAAAATGCGACACTTCGAAGCAATTCATTTTATTTAAACCCCTATATTCACATAATGATGACAATTTTCAAACAACGATAAATTTCTCGTTCCTAAGTATTTTATAAAATTCGGAGGGAACTTAGTACGGAGCGTGGGTCCGCGTGTGTTAATTAACTCTATTCAAGCGTTCGTTTCTTTTTCTAAGTACGAAACAGAGGCAGGCCGCTAACAAAGCAATTATTTTCTTTACAAAATTAATTATTTCCCTTGTATTGGTGTTCTGTTCTCTCGCTTTAATTACCGAAGTGGGTGCTACGTGTTGCGACTTGCGACTAATTGACCGTAACGCGCACTAAAGTATACCGCTGTGCCACAGGCGGAAGAATTCTCCCGTAGGCCAATAGGAACTAATCTCAGTGGGAAAAATAATTACTTTTATAACGTATAACGTATAGACGAGCATTGAACCGGGAAATTGAATAGCCCCTGTGTGTTTCTAAGACTAATTACATTTTATTGAACACGAAAATAAATCAAATTGACTTGTGATGTTCTTATATTTTAATTTACGTTAATTAATTAACGAAGAATCTTTCATTTCACAAATTTGTTACGGGATAATAATTATTTTCTATAGTAAATAATCTTAGAATTACTTTGGTAAACAACAAAAGTAATTAGTGTAAATGATAGCTAGTTTATCTTTATTCTGGCGTTTTCTCTGATAGTGTAACAAGCGTATACTTTAGGTATTTTTTTAAGTAATTGCGCATGCTTAGTGAAGGGTTTACAAAGGACAATAATAAGTAAGGTAAGGTAAGGAAATCAATTCTAATAAAATACAAAATTAGGTTCTTCATCAATTCAAACATAGCCAAAGGCTTTTGTAACGGGAAAACTTGGCCTACTGTTTTCCTGCAAGCTGTGGTGTGGAACAATTTTACCGAACAACAAGAGTCTGGCTAATGGAAATTAGCTTCCAGGGCTAATTGCCATGAATACGCTTAACATAAATCAACGGTGTTTTAAAAAACATGACGTGAGAGAAGGGAGAATTTTTTTCGGGGAAATAATACCTTTTTAATGGAAAATCTTTATCGCATGTACAATATTTGAATATGTAAATGTAATTTTTTCTTACCTTTCGCGAAATTTCTCTTGTAATAAATTATGTCAGTATTTAAAAAATACCTACCTAGCTGTTTAATTTACACACTTAGAAATAAAATATAATTTGTAAAAATCGAATCGCCATCTTAATTCTTCACGAATATATTGTTGAGAAAATTTAAGTATGTACAAGTAAAACTACACAATAATAATTTAAATGATTTATTGGATTGCATTGTTAATATTTTTACAGACATATTGGTACGCCACATGCGTACAATTATAAATCAATTAGTCGTTCACATTTCTCAAGATGGCGCTAAAGCCACAAATCTTGTTCTAAAATTAATGTTGATAAATTGTATATTTTATTAGACCTGCAAGATTTATGAACTTCTGCGCCTTATTTAAGCTTTTTTAATTTAAATATTTTACTTTATACTCGGTTTTATGAGAGGGTTAAGAGGCGTCAGCGTCGCTTGAGACCACTTGAAGAATTTTATGTTTATTTCAAAAGATCATAATAATATTACATAAAAAATCATCTTTAATACCAGCAGTGTGGGCCGCTTCAGTGAAGAACGTAACGAGTCATTAATTACAAACTCCTAAACTTCCGCCAAATTTTTTGACAGTTTCCAAGTTCAATTTTTTTTTTAATGCAAAACCCACGGCCTTTTTATTGATTTGAAATTTAGTTATAGAAGAATACTTGAGCAGTCTCTTTTTGTTTGTGGATGAAATAAGTTACTATAAAATTCAAATATTACTTTAAAAGACTTTCAACTATCTCAAACAGCTGACGTTTTCCCACAGATAAAAAAATCATTCAAAAATACAGTCACGTCAATCTCGCACCTTATCAACATGGACCGGTTAGCACAGCGCTCAACAGAAATGAAAATTAGCCGCTATTAATATTCAAATTTGCAAAAACTTAATTTACCTTTTGTTTTGTACACAGCGACTTGTTAGACAATAATTTTTATTTCTGTTAAGCCTCAAGCCTCCTTTTGAGACATTCTTCTAAATCAATTTGCGTCTTAATTTAATAATATTTTTAATTTATATTCTACGATAAAAGTATCGTGGTTCACTCAAAAAGTTAAGTGAACTAAAAACATTTATTTTCAGTCTTATTTGCGAGCATTAATGAGCGAATACGTTGTATTTATTTTAATGTGAAACGAAAATATCTCATTCAATTTATATTCTGTGGTTGTCTGTGATTGGTTAGTTCATGATAATATAATAAATTCCAGTTGTATAGATTTTTTCGTTTCATATTAAAAATACTCTTTCGTTGTAATGTTTTCAAGGCAGTCCTTAATGCGTATAAGTCATAACATTATAATACTAGATCATTACCGTATAGAACGCAGTTACAACTATGTATATCATAGTGCATAGTAAAAATCTTGAATTCATTAAATATTTCGTAAGTACGTTCTTTAATAGTTTTCGTTTGTAAAAACATATTTTTGCTGTTTAAATAATTCATTTCGATTATTTATTGTGATGTGCAAGAATAAATAAGAGTCGTAGTCATTGTAGTATAAATGCCTGTGCGTCACAACCTTAAAAATAATAAAAAAAAACTTAAATAACAAATTTACAAAACCTAAAATATAATGAAACAGAAAATTACTGAAAGGAGTCAAAATACAAAATTTTGTTTCTAACAAAATTCATAACAATTCTTAAGTACATTGCCTTTTCTACCGTTTCTTTTATTTTTGCAACTTTATCTGGCAACACTGAAGAGATTCTTATCAAGCAACAGGCTAAAGCGCATCACGCTAAGCGTCCCTAACTAAAATAATACAAACTTACATCTAGCTTCAGATCTATACTTGTTCTCAACACTCTAATAAATAAAATTATCATAAACTTGTCTTATAAATAATTCAAACCATATTTGTAGCAATTTTAGCTAATCAAACAAAATCCTTCAGCCCGTTGTTGTAGCAAAATTGCTTTAAATCTTCAGTGCTTTGACACTAAATAATCACAAATGCCTACACTAAGTAAATATTATATAAATATAATTTTGTACTGTCATAAGTCCGTACACTTCGATATGGCGATAAAAGGATAGCTATCACATTCTTCCCTCCAAAATTTTGTTTCCTACCAAAATGGTAGTTTATTGGGGCAACTCTTTTATTTGAAACCTTATTTCTTAGGAATTGGGATCCATTTTCACACATACTGCCGCGGTGCTGGCCCGTTTTTCCTTGAGTGAGGCAGGGTGTCGTCATTGTTGCCAGTGTTGTTGTTATGTAAAAATGACATTTCTACACCTGCATCGCCGCCCTATAAGAAAAAGATTTTTGTATACTTAAACAAAATATGCCTTCTAAATCAAAAAGTTTAGGTGAAACATTGAATTATTAAAAAATAATACACATTTACAAAACAAGATAATTAAAATAAATAGCTTCTTAGGCACAAGTTTTAGAATACTAAAGATTAACTTAAAATTTTTGTTTATTAAAAACATTAATTACCTACACAAATGTATGTGACTGAGTAGCTGTTCAAGAAGTCCCAAGAACGACCACTAAGAAAGACACTGTGAGTTTGTTTTCGCTTTTCGAAATTTGTCAAAAACAGACTCGTATCTTATAAGCATATAGGAATATTAATAAAACAAAAAGGATGCTACATTTGTTCATATAGGTATCTAAGGAAGTTACGTGTTACTCATTAAAAAATAATTTCACTTCATTTCATATGTCAGTTACCTCGGAATGCATAGGGTTGGCTGTAATAGTGATTGGCACTTTAGCAGGGATGTACCCGTTCGTGGCTCCGGTCTCCGGCACTGAGCCTTTCTCTTCTGTAATAAATCATTCAATGTGTTTTGACAGCTGCTTTAAAGGCACTATTATGACGTCAATGTTTTGTTATTATGTGATCCCATTGTTAAGTTAAGCGCTCTCCTCGTTTCATGCTCGGATGATCTTAAGCTGTTTTCATGTTTAATTAATTTATTGTTTTGGGTCTACTATTAATGGCTTTTAGTCTGAAACTTAGTGTTTGCCTAAATGGTGTATTTTAATATTTTTTGGTTCTTTACAAGTACCAATTCTTGTACAAAGATATAAAAAATTTAGTATGGCGCTATGATATGACTGAGGGTAGGGTTTTGACAAACTTTTATATCTCTAATATTTAATATTAAACCAGAATTTGTAACTATTTTTTTTAGTAAAAAAAAACGTTGCCCAACACTAGGATTTTCTACTATGTTGTAGGTGTGGTTCCAAATATACAATTTCACATACACATGACAAACCCAGATCAGGAACAACAATTTGTAAAGTAGTACTAAGTTTTTGGAAATAAAAACATTTATTTATTAACAACTTTGGGATCTTTGCTAAGGTTCGCAAGAATGAGTAACTAGAAAGCAAGTAGAACTGCATACTGACTGTCGGTGGTGGGTCTCCTGGCGCGGCGACACAGCAGCAGCGCGATGGCGAGCAGCACGAGGAGCGCGGTGGCGCCGAGCGCGCCGCCCGCCGTCACCAGCGCGGCCGGCGCGCCCTGTCTGCTGCCCGCGCCCGCGCCTGCGCCCGCGCCCGCCCCCTCGCTGCTCACGCCGGCACCAACGCTGTGGCTGGTGCCCGACGCTGGACGAAGCGTTTTTGCAGTCTGTTTGTGGAGGTATGATAATTAAATAATTGGTATATTATTCCAGTTGTATTATAGTATAAGAACTATTATTTCATACTGGGGTCTATAAAGAATACATCATGTACAGTAAGTATTGACTTTAAAATTGGTCATAACCAAATTTTATTTTTCACTTAGATTTTTTGTGTTTTAAATCCGCAATTGTTAAAGTTGCGATTGCGTTGCCGGCCTTTTCGGGACTAGAGTTTGGTAGACTATACCACTTATTGTAACTATATGTATTGTGATTGCCAACTTGAAATATGTTAACTTAAACAAACAAACTTAAACTTAGAATGAAAGTAAACCTTGATGTGGTCTCTAAAAGAGAACAATTTTTGTTATGTGATAGGACGGCAAACTTACAGACGGATTACCTATTTAAGCAATCAGCGTCACCCATGCACACCCGCAACACCAGAGAAATTGCGAGTGCGTTACCGGCCTTTTGGGGGTTGAGTTTCGAAGACTTCACCACTTTGGTAATTGGTAATTATTTATTATGTGGTTACCAACTTCGAATTTATTACATACTTGAAATCAAAGTGAACGCTGGGCGATGTGGTCTATAAAAGACCACCCCTTAACCTGTGATATACCGGAGCGCTGATCTACGTGAGACACAAGGTGTTTTCTATTGTCTTTTATGTACCGGCAAACGAGAGGTTAATTAATAAAGAAAAAAGTAAGACAGAAAAACGTACCTTAATAGCACTGAACTCTGAGGCAGCCTGCGCAGTGTAGGCCTGCAGCTTGATGTCGTAGCTGGTGTCGGGCGCCAGGTGTGTGAGCAGTAGTGCGCGCGGCTCGCCCGACGTCGTCACCTTCTCGTACGCGCCGGCAGACGACACCGCGCGGTAGTACACGTAGAAACCTTCCGCTTCTACCTCGCCACCGCTTGACCACTGACCAATGGAAATAATATAATAAATATTTGTTTAATGTCTATTTCATATTTCGGTAAAGGGTACAAGCGACCTGTAGCTCAATTTGGGAAAATTTTATATCAAGAATCTTAATTTATACTAATAAGTATTATAAAGCTGGAGAATTTGTTTATTTAGACGCGCTAATCTCCAAAACTACTGGTTCGAATTGAATAATTATTTTTTTGTTTGTTAGTACATTTATTGAGGAAGGTTTTTGGCTATAAAAACATCACGCTACGATTAGCAGGAGCCGAGCAGCGAGTGAAACCGCGCGACAGAAGCTAGTTAGTAGATAATTTGAACAACTGTTTGAGAAATTCTCATAGAAATATCGCAGACTTTCGCTCATATTGTGGTTACTGGTAATAATTGGTATAATCTATTAGGTATCAATTAGAACTTATCGAACTAATAACCTCAACTAAAAATCTATATGCAACTGCACTTCCTCAATTTATGTATATGAATATCTCATTCTCTTTCGCATCACAATAAAGTTTATTTAAACAAGATGACGCATATTTTATACGATGGGACCTTATATAACACAAGTAGTGACGGATATGTGTTACATTTATTTATTTATTTATACTTTAATGCATACACGATAAGCAAATTCACATAACTTAATGCCATATGGCAATCTCCTAGCCAACATTAGGGTTTGATGGAAAATAATTGATACTAAGCTACAGTAAAGATACAGTAACAGTTAGGTATATGAAATTAATATTTGAAATATAATTACACAGTTATAATTAAAAAGCCTTCCTCCCTTCGGAGAAGGAAATACATCACGCCTTTACTTTCACTTTCCTTGTATTATTACTATAATATACCTACTAAGTTCCTGGTGGCCCCGAGGGTAAGGCGCCCGCTTCTCATGCATGAGGGTGTGCGTTGGAAACCTAGCAAGTACCAATGTGACTTTTTCCGAGTTGTGTGTACTTTCTATGATTATTTAGACACCACTGACATACGGTGAAGGTAAACCTCGTGAGGAAACATGGACTTATAACTTCTAATTATAAGTTTGAAATCGCCAACCGGCATTGAGCAAGCTTGGTGATTAATGCTCAAACCTTCTCCTTGTGAGAAGAGGCCTTTGCTCAGCAGTGGGCATTTATGGGCTGATGATGATGATGATGACTAAGTTCTCTATACCAGTTCCAGGTACTCACCGTCCACTCGAGCTGTATGGTAGTAGGTGACATGGGTACTGCCCGCGACAGTACGGGCGCGCGCGGCGCCTTGAACCCGCCGCGCTGGAGGTGGAAGCGCGCGCTACTCTTTCCCAACTTATTGTCCTGGTTGGAATATACTGCTGCGATGCGAAACCTAGATTGAAAAATAACTGCATTGTTATTGGGAAAAATAAATCTTAATTAACAGAAAAGTTCAGAAAAGAAAAGGAAACTTTCGCTTTCACAAATTAAATGCCTGCCTGCCTATTTATTGTGTGGGTGAAATATAAGAAATATAGCGTCTAAAAATTTTTATTTGTCAAGGGAAAATTATCTAATGACTTCTCCCGCCCAGGGTAAGACCTGGGCTGAGCCAAGGTCGCGGTGCCTCATTGCGCTTAACCTGCAACCCCGGCTGGTAGCGTCTAACCCTACATTCTTAATGTGTGCATAATACCTATCTTATTTATCTATAACTGATAACTCAATAACGCATAGACCAATTTTGATAATTCTTATTTTGTTGTGTTTGTTATTATTGTCAGAAGTTTTTATGAAAGGAAATATAAAGATAGAAAAAATAGAGGTTTAAATCGGGATTAGTAATCATAACAATAACGTTGAGCCCGTACTAAGCAGGAGCGGGCCGTTACTTTACTAATACTTCTTTTCCCCTTAAGAAGAACAACAATGTTTTATTACGAAATTACACTCATATTTTATTTACGTCCTAAAAACCTAATAACATACGAAAAACCAACCTATAGCCAACATTTCCAATCTATTCTAAGTTTAGCTCTAAACGGACGGTGTACGCAAACATTCAGGTTAAACAAAAATGCGTTTCGACTTTCAACGCGAGAGCCGTTCAGTGAGAGCGAACGATCGAATATCGACGATGACATCGTGTCCTCCCATGCAGAACGCTGAGCTTGACCTGTGCTCCAGAGAATGATACAGCTAGCGAGTACGTCACTTTTTTAGTTTTCACATCATATTTTCATTCAAAACTTTGATATTTGAAACTATATATGTATTCTATCTATCTCTTTTAATATTATAAAGTTGTAAAGATTCTTTGAACGCGTTCATCTCCGAAACTATTGGTTTGAATAGAACATTTATTTTTTGCCCCACACTAGGATTTTCTCCTGTGTCGTGGGTGCATTTATCTACATACAATTCCACATATACATCACACCTAGGCCCAAAACAACCATTTGTAAACCACACAAAGAGTTGTTCTGTTCGGGAATCGAACCCGCGACACGGCGCGAAGCCAGTTGCCCAGCCACCGCGATAACCGTGCAGTCAAATAAATTCTTTTCGTTTGTTAGTCCATTCATTTAGGAAGGCTGTATAACAGGCTATAAAACACCGGTGAAACCGCGTAAGATTAGCTAGTCTATGATATAATAATGAATACCATTTGTTGTGTAAGCGCATAACTTCACAATGCCTGACCAATTTTGCCAATTCGTGCGAAACAGTACCTACGGGCCGCTAGTTCTTAATAAAATTAGTACTTTAACTTCACTTGATAACAAAAGTTTGATATTTCAGTTGTTTCTGTTCAATGAAACATTTTTAGGATGAATGAGCATTTCAAAAGATTACATTGTACTTAATATATAGTAAAACATTGACTTACTTGTAGTATTTGCCGGGAGTTAGCCCGTCTATCTGGTAGGAATGTATGTATGCAGGTATGTCTTGGTTAGCAGTGTTCCACTGAACATTGCTGGTGTTGCTAACCTCTCTATATTGCACCTTTTAACAGAGAAAATTGACATGTCAATACGGTAGTTTCCAACTAGCAAATTCAATCCCTTTATCCAAATGTATGAAAAACTGAGTTATATATTTTTGCGTCCAATAGCTTACTTATTTCTTAATAATTAGCTACAAAATATGTAAAACTTAGTGTAGGTATTGATCGATCGATGAATGAAAGTACTTACAGTTATTTTTTAATATTTTATTTTTGACCTAGTAATTATCTAAATATGCCACTAAAATAATCATGCTACTTTCAACCAATTAATGAAGAAATTATCACCAAAACCAGTAATGAAATAATCATACCATCTTCCATCTTTAAGAGCGCTACTTCTAGAAATTACGCAAGTTGAAATGGAAGCTCTGATATAACCACAAAGTGCTTTTAACAAATCCTCAGTTTCTCGAAGAATAAAATTAAAACGAATGCCAATTTGCTATCGTTAATTCCAATGAGTACTCTCGCTAGTCGGGCTAGGCCACAAAAACTCTGAGATCTTATAAAATGCTAACTTTTGTCCGCATTTCCTGCAAGGCACGGGCGACGGACCAAAAGCAACGACTTAAACCATTACTTCGCTCCCCTTTGAGCATTTTATACAAGAAAATAATTATGAATCGGGCTGTGTATCTTGTTTATGCAGTGTGCTCTTGGCTGAGCCAAGCTGTTCCTATCTCGTGGGTGACATAAAAGACGTCACGAAGTAAACCAGCACATGAAATGAAAACCGCGCGAAAATAACACCAAAAAATACTGTCTACAGTATGTCTTGTATCTACTAAAAGCCGTTAACCAACGTAACTTTGGTCTGCTTTTAAAATAGAACTAACTGTATTGAAACTCATAATAAAATCATCTTAATAAATCGACCAACCTTAGGAAGACGCAGGTAAAATTAAATGCAATATTTTGTTACATATATTACAACGTTTTATTTAAAACCAACAACCCCTAAAATATGCATAAATTCCCAATAAAAAGATAATAAAATAATAATAGCTTCTTCAATGTCCAACGTCAATATAATGACACGCAATTTTCTGAACGACATTCATAACACAATGCAGCAATATTTATATTAAAAAGCTTACCTTGAAAAACCGGATGGGTAGTCCTTGATTGTCATGCGACCATGACACCATGACGCTTTCATCATTCAACCGGGTAACGTTAGGCCTTGATGGGGGAATCATTACGGCTGGAACAAAAAGACCGACATCAACATTTTTCACGAAAATATCTCTACTAAAAGCTTTTGGGGAGTTTTTGAATTTGTTGAACTCACCTTTATGTTTTCTGGGGTTCTTTCTGTTATGCCTTTTTGGTGGTTGAACCGAATAACGTGTTTTTGGAGTTTCCACTGGATAATCCTACGAAAAAAAGAAAGAAAATATTTAATTTTTCAAGAATATAAATAGGTATTCTAAATAGCGACGCTAGCACATATACAAGTACCGCATTATTTTTATTATTTTTACTTATTACACCAATAACGTAAAATAACAGTTATAAATAGAATGTGTGAAATAAATTCAAATTATTTGATTTTTCAAAAATCGAAGGGCTTCCTTCTTCGACCTTTACTTTAATATACTTAAATAGAAAATATGGATTATTCTGTTGAACAACATTGTTACCTGGTCAGGTATCTGCAATGGTACTACAGACAGCATGCCGGCTCCGTATGCACAGCCGAGCGTGTTGCAGGCAAAGCACTGCACGATGCCTGCGTGACGCTTCTCAACGTGCTCGATGAACAGGTCCGTGTCTGTTTCATAAGAAATAATATAAGTATGTATTCTATTTTTTATGTGATAGGGCAGCAAACGAGATGCTGTATTACCTGATGGTAAGTAATCAGCGCCGCCCATGGACACCCACAACAACTAAAGGAGTTAAAAATACGTTGTCAACCTTTTGGTGTTTAGGGATTTGGAAATTTTGAAAATGGGGAGGGATTAGGAGAGGCTAGGAATTGGGCCTCCGGTAACCTTACTCACAAGGCGAAACAAAACGTTGTGGTTGTTTCACGCCAGTTTTATCTGAGGCCGTGGTATCACTCTGGTCGAACCGACCCATTAGTGCCGAAACATGGCTCTATCACACTTAAATTGTTTTGAAATCACATCCATAAGACTGATATCTACAGGGACGTAACAGTGGGCTCCGGTTAGGTTCGCAATAATGCAAGCATCCTTGTTTTATTAATTTTGAATAATTTAATTAAAACTGACCCTAAAATTAAAGTCGTGCTTAAGCAAATATAATCAAGTATTTCATCAAAAAAAATAAGTAAACATTTTAATAAGGTCGTAGTGGACATGAAATGTAAGTTATTGCAATTCCCTCCTACACCCTGTGCCTACCTACGTATATCTATTTATAAGCAGTATTTTATCCAAGCAAATGTTGAAATCCTAAGTTTACTACGCAATTTAACTATATGAAACACACAAATGTCCACGCAAGTTCGTCCACACCATCAATTTATTTCATTGGTTTTATTTTTATGTGTTTTTATAGGAAAAATGCTACAGGTTTCATCGGCAAACAATATTTATGTCCATCACGGCCCAATAAACTACGGGACAGGAGTGACAAAAAGCAATTGATTTATGAGTTTATATTGAAAAGTAAAAAAAGACATTTTATTTTAAAACTGAAAACTGTCAGTTGCTGATAGGGAAACAATGTGGACTAGTGTTCAACGAGGGATGGGCAGAGAGTAAATGGTTGTATTGTACGTCCTTATCTAATGTATGTGAATTCAGGTTTCATCGCTCTTGAATAGATTTTCATTCTATTCTAAGTTTTCAGTAATTGCATTGTGACTGAAATCTACCTCATGTATGCTTTCAAGTTCGATATTTTACAACAAACAACATGACCACACTACGTCCGATTCGAATCCAAAAAAATATGGGCGAGCTACAATCGCTCTTTACGCACCATATCCATCCGTCATCCGATTTCTTTTGAATTCTGTCCGAGTCTTCTAGATCTGAATTTTCACGGTTTCAAATCGGACGCTACCGTTGTGAGAAAACGCTGCTAGTCAATCCTTTCTTGAAAAAGCAACGGTACAAGCCTATTGATAGCGATCTTTAGGCAGACTTCGTGTACTAATATTGACAAGTCTTTACCGGTCTTGGATTTGAAGATCCACTCATCAAACGCACTTACAAAAACTCATACATAGCATATCTGTAATATGAATTCTCTGTGTAAACAAAACTACTTACTGTTAGCTTTAATCCCTTTCTCGTTCTTCAGCACCTCGGAATTCAGCACCCAGTAGACTTGAGGAGGAGGTTGGCCAAAGGAGTTTCCACACGTGACGTGTGCCCTTCCACCCTCGTTAGGGGTTGATACTGAAACGTTCCCGTCCCAGTGAGGAGGTTGTAGGGCCAACACTTTCCAAGAACGACGGATGCCATTTGCTGAACACGCGTATACACCCTAAAAATAAACAGAAAATTAATAATGGAAAATCAATTAATTATATTTAAACCGATTTCAAACACAAATAATACTAAAAACCTAACAATTAACTCGAAAATCTTATTCGCCTACCACCAAAATCATTTTTGAAGTGGGTTTTTGCCTCACCTCGCTTCTGATATGGTGTTTGCACATGCCAAAAAAAAAATAAAAGGAATTGAAGCGTTGCAACAAATGCATTTCTATAACATATTAATGAAAAAAAATCGAAACAAATACATTCGAATCTCGAATTCGGGAACGAGCCCTAGTTCCACTAACGAACAGATTATGAGGCTATTATTCTAATCTTTGTTGACGTTTCAAGAATACAGATTTGCGGAAAAGTTAAAATTGAAATAACAAGCGTAATCACAAAAAAAAATTCTATAATAATTTTCCTACAAAACTCCTTGTTACACGTCTCCGAAGCCATCGAATCACAAAAGTTAAGGTCTTAGAATTATTCGTTCTCCGTTCGTGAACAAAGAAAGCCTTCAAGACACAAACGATTTTTCTTACAAGATGGCACTACTGGAAATGTCCTAAAGCTTTTCCTTCACTTTTCCTTACAAAGGCAGACAATACAAAGCTTACACAAAAAAATATCAAACACAATATAAATAAAACGCTTTCACATTTTATAATCTGTGAGTCGGTGGTATTTCTCACAAAGCGTTCATAACATTTAACGCGGAGAGGAACTGAGTTCCGTAATGGGTACTTCTGTAACTTAGATTTTGAGAACTAACTACTAGTTATGGTTAGTTTCCTGTGTATTGGTCTTGTTAATTATTTAGGACTCAGGATATGTACAAGTAAATTACCAATACAGAGAGATATTTAGACACATACATAGACCTAATTCCCGTTTAAGCCTGTAAGTCGGATCAGAACAAGAGGTATAAAAGTCCAGAGGGAAAAAAATATACGTATTTCCACATCGCGCCCGTTTTCACTTGAATGTTATCAATAGATTCAATTGAAAATGATACGGGATTGCTAAATTATTGTCACATTTACAATTAAATGAAAGCAAAGTCACTGATTCTTTAAAGTACTAGATACTTGTAATCTGCTTGTTTGTTGCTGTATTACTATAGTAAAAGATGCAACTATCAAATATTTCGAATCTACTAAAATATCATCACAAAACTATCACAAATTAGTAGCGCTCGACGCATTCAAATAGCGAACTGTATTTTAAATAAAAGAAGAAATCCAATAACTAACTTCATTCGCAGGAGTAAAAGGTGATATCATCAGCATATGTTGATTGGCGAATGCTTTCAACTCTCCCTCTCCTTCTAAAGACCATGAGATCTTCGGAGGTGGAGTACTGACCGCCCCACACCATAACCGAAGAACTCCGTTAGGCTTTACTGGCATAGTCAGCACATCTTCATCTATAACACCCACGTACTCTTTGGATTCTAGGAATCTGTAAACAATTAGAATGATTTAAAATTTTCCGGAACAATTACAAGACTCTATTAAGTTTCTATTAAGAAAAACTAATTTTTGCAAATAAATTATTTTATATTTTTTAATAGTAGGCACAATAATAGACTTTTGGCATTTGTCTTTTGACTTTTTGTTTCATGCCAAAAACTATGTACGATAATAACATTCACAACTACATTCATACATAAGTTCGTATAATATGTGCGTACAACACTAACGTAATATTACTACAATGTTATGAGACGATGTCTGTAACCCGCAATACAAGGAACATGCCGTAACAAAAAGGTCTAATGGCCCAAAGAATAATTTGCAATTACAGCCTGACTAACTTTTCTTAGCCAAAGAAAGCTACATACAGGACATATGTAACTGAGTTGTTACAACAGTATCCATATCGTGACCGACCACAGCCGAATCTCATTTAATCCAAAATTTACTTGGACAAAGTTTCAAAACCACAAGCACATGTCTGCGATAGAACGAGACTCGACGTGCTCTTGAATCGGCAAAGGAATTGTGGTCCGAGCCGTTTCAAAAAAACATTAGACCTCACATTATAGTAACTTTTTTGCAGGTAAAACAAGTTATTATAGTATCGCAATACAAATGAAGTCGAAGGCTTACTTTGACTACCAACAGTAAATTTAAATCACACTAAGTACTAATTCTGGAACTAGTCGTTTTTTTATTCTGCAGCAAATCCTAATACGTCCTCATCGTGATGGTAAGCAATCTATGCTGTCACATAAACACCCACATAGTCAGAGGTTTAGGGACTTGTGCAGACATTCGTTTTTCGGGGTTTCTTTGAGCCCGTGATATCTCTCCGGTCGGGCCAGTTCACTCGTGCGTGCCGAAGCACGGCTGTCTCGCATTCGGAGGATACAAATATGAAGGTAGTAGTTGTATTCGTATTTAGTAGTATTAATAGTTAATAGGTAGGCCTTATTAGTCACCTACCATAGTCCAGTAGTACCAACCCGACTATGGTTATAGTCTGGTTGTTCTTATCATAAGCATTAACAAATGCTAAGCCATTTAGACAGTACTAACCTGACTTCCCTGCTTCCTTCATATTGAACATTCAAATGAGTCTTCTGAGCCACATCGAGCACCTCTCCACTGAGCTCATTGGTGGCCCTGCAGGTGTATGTTCCACTGTCGTCTGAAGTCGCATTATGTATCACCAGCACGCCGTGAGGAGTTTCCAACTGTCTTCTCTTACCCTGAAAGAAAGGCCATGTACTAACAAAATCGCTGATTAAGAAATCCGTCAAACAAAGATTGCACGTTATTAGTCCAGACACTGATTTAAAATCGTTTTAAAGAAGCATTCGGTAAATGCAATTCTGTTGATTTTGCTCTATTGTTTTGTAAGTAAAACAGTACCCACTGCAAGAGGGATATATTAAATAAATAATATAATCAAGCTCATCAATAGAGAAATAAATGCAAATGGCCGTAATAAGTTATTCGGAACTCCTCATATTTGATGTAGGTACTCAAAAAACATTTTTTCCCATAACCTACATGACCTGTGTATATTCAAATAGGTACTCTATCTTCTATCTTCACGTATAAAAGCTCTTCAGCTTACTTATAAAAACGCTTCATGTAACCGAAAACAGAGTAAAGTTTTTCTACAATAATCTAAAGATAATATTTGGACACTGTGGCAGCACTGTGTTCATGTTTGTATATCAAGTGTATTCCAAGAACTTCTATAGTATGTATCTCCTATCTTAGCACTTAGATTCCCGTACATGCTTACTCTATTTATATTTAATTTACCTCTTTAAAACATACTCTCCAAATTCTGACAACTTTCTAGAATGAGCTAATTAAGCAAATCTTATTTCTAAAACATGTTTTCTATGAAAAAGGTAACTCAGGGGATGCTGTTTCATAGTAACAAATAATTCTAGTTACAAAACTCATAAATCAATTTCTAGTTTCTGATATCGAACAACGTTCAGTAAACTATGCACACATTTCTTGCAATCAACCCAAAATTTCACGATTATTTCCCAGAACAGTTTTGAATTTAGTTTCTAAACACTAGTTTGTTCACATCCAAAAAACCACCCAACGTGTGGATTCAAAACGAAGTTCGTTATAAAATATTCGCGTATCGGTTCACCGTTCAAAGCGACCGCAAGTATACTAAAACATGCTTTGATTCTCTGAGATACAGACTAAGCTTAACTTTGTTTACCAACTATTCACGAACCAGGCATAAGAGCCTCCTAGAGTATCGAGTTTCTTTTGAAATATAGGCTTTTGTTGTATTTATTTTGTACGTAACCACGGCTTTATGTCCGCTGTAAAATGAGATAAACTTTAAATTTATACTGGCTTTATTTGTATAGGTATATTTTAGAAGGCTATCTAGATTTCGATCACGTAGATTTAAATAATGATTGTGTTGTTAGACCTCACACAGCGTAATAATTACGAATTCAAATACCGAACGTGCTTAAAATGGAATTATCTTCTAAAAATATGTTTCTATTCGAGGTATTATCTGGTTAGCACTAACCGGTTTTTGCATTTACAATTCACAATCTATTATTATCAATCATCAACATCTATAAAACAGACATAAAATCTTTGCTAATGAATTCAATGTCTAATACTAGCTATATAATTAATTTTATCTATTATCTAGGCATTAACTACATGCAGTTGGGTGCGAAAATATAATGTTATTTGATAGGCTTATGTTCAGCAATAGGCGGAAACAGCCATATGACGATGACGATGATGACGATGATGAAATTTCATCATCTAGTGGTCGAAAATGCAACTGAACCTTTGAATCGTTCAAAAGATTATAGGGATAGACAGAGAAAGCAACTTTGTTTAGGTAGTGAAGTAATTATAGGTAGTATAGGACCTTAAATAGGAAAAGGAATGGGGGGTTTTTAGTCAGTAAGAGTTTGACACACTCTCTCATCTTACCCTGGGTGGGAGAAGTTATTTGACAATATGCCCCGGACAAAAAAAATGTCATCTGTATAAACTAACCTTAGACCCTTCTTTCCACCACGTGAGCACAGCAGGGGGTTCTGATAAAGGTTCCTTGCAGTGTAAGATGACAGTGTTGTGAAGAGGTGCTGTGACCACTCTTTCTTCAGCAGTGATTCTGTCTGATGCGTTGATCAACCTCGCCACTGTGAGACGGGCAGGTACTGATGTTAAACTTACAGCTCCATACCACACTACACACTGCAACAAATAAACGAACATATTTTATATTCTTTATTGCACTTATTATTACAAATCTACAAAGAACAGGCTTGTATCTGTTGACAATGGGCGATCTTATTATAGAGTGATTTATTATTCTACATTTTGTTTTTCTTTTAGTCATAAGCCAGATACTTTAGGTTATAATATGTAAGTCGATCTCTAAGTCTGTAATCTGGAGTGGTGGAAATATTTTATATAATAATAGGATCAAATTATGTTTTACTTACTCCATAACATAACTGACAGAGAATGGTAATTGCATTAAATAATTGATCAGATGTGTATATCTGAATAACTTTGCATATAAATTCTATTTTTCCTATGAATTCCTGAAGCAGCTCTAATAACTGTAGAATGTTTGCACAGAAATGTTTGACTGCCGATGTTGAATTGGAGTTTTAATGAAAAAGTGTTGGCTCACTTTGTGCTCACTTTTTACTCATGCTTTTGATAAAGTATGATATATTGGAATGCTTACATAATGCAAAAAACATATTACAGAGATACCCAATATTTTAGGATTACTAAAACCTTTTGTCACCTTTTAACCTCATAATTCCCATTGAATAATCAGAAATCTAAAGTCACGTTTAGGTAAGGAAGGTTTTTATGAATCCGCTAGCGACAAGTGCAAATATTGTAAGTGCTAATACTAAATTTCTCCACTTTTTAATGGATTTGATTATATATTCTATAAACATTCCTATTCAATCTCTCTCTCTCTCTTTCTATTAAAAAAACACACCAAAATCTGTAGTGTACTCTGTAGTGATAGTGATAGCCTATAACCTCATTATTATTAACTTCCGATTCGATAATTGCAAGAAAATGGCGTAATGATACAACTAAGGTAAACCGCTGGCACTCCCGGATTCCCCATGGTTTATCCCTTAGCCGCCTCTTACGACACCCGCGGGACTTTAGCGCAGTCATCCGTAACCGACCACCACATGGGGACGATTGCTAATCTCCTTTGATATATTGATGTTTAACCTGTCCTTTGGCAGGATTATTTCACTTAGAAAATGAACAGGTCATTAATAGTGGTGTCTTTTTTTCCTCTAGAATTTCGAGAACCTAATACTTAATTTTGCAGTCCCTTCTTAATAGCCTCAAATTATAGACTGGACCATCAACTGATCCCAAATGAAGGGTTACTACATAAACTGTTACGGATTTATTCAATCCTAAAATAAACTTAATGGTCTGTGATCAGAATAAAATGAAATGTACTCGAGCATTTAATTGAATCCTTTTTCTACAATTTGCCTTAATTCTTTAGAAACTAAGGTCTTTTTCTATCATACCTGGAACCAAGTGGTTTCCAAATTCATCATGACTTCTATCTCCAGCTTGGTGCTTCTTCCTGGTAGTCCAGGTATAATCTTCTTGCCGTCTCCATCCACCACTTCAGTCCACAGCTCGTCATCCCGATCTGGTTTCCATCGCCACACAAACCTTTCCCCTGGTACATTTACTTCGCACTCAAACGTGACTCTGTCACCGAGGGGAGCTATCACTGACTCAGGATATTTGGTGAACTTCATCTCTAGTTCTGAAAAAAATAATATGTCGTAAATAATTTATACGAAATAATAGTTAAATCTAGTTGAGTACCACTACTGTAGATACTAGTTTAAAGCAAATACAAGAGATAGGAGTTTGTGATGTTTTTATGGCATAGGAGGCTAACAAGCAGGTGGATTGCCTGATGATAAGTGATTAGCCATAGACTCTCGCAATACCAGAAGAATCACAGGCACGTTGCCGACCTTTTAAGAAGCAGAATGTTCCTTGAAGCTCCGAAAAAGTAATTGGTTCAGAAATACCGCCGCCGAAAGATCATTCCAAAGTTTTCATGCGCGAGGTACAAAATTTTGCGAAAATCGTACAGTTGTTGACGGCCTCCCATCTAAACTGAGTCCCCGCCGTATCAAAAGATACAATCGAAATTCGAAAACAAGATCAGTCTGACCATTTCGTCGGGACACTCCCCGTATAGTATAGGCGATAGTAAAAGCATAGTGCGGCTACAACTTTACGCAATGCCAAAGAATCCAGCCAATATTATAAAATAAAAAACCGCTATTGGAAATGAGAAACCGATAACAAGTCAGAGAAAAAATCAATTGCGAGACAAAAACTAGGTGTACTAAGTACTCCTATAACAACGCAATATGCTGTAGTTGAAACATAAAAGCGGTTGCGGTTCAAAACAACCATTAACAATCTCTGTAGCATCGTAGCCATCTTTAAAAAGAAAGCAGATAAGTGCTTCCTGGAAAATGATAATACTAAAAGTGACGGTAGAGCTATGTCATGAAGCATGAATATGGAGCTAAAGGAATTTCTACACAGGATATCGAAAACCGGTCAAAGAGAACACTGAGCTGGAAGATGCAACGTTACATAAGTAGAAATACAGGGGCTCACAATGTCTCCGAAATATATTATAAAATCGGAGAAATTAAAACAATTGCTACATTACAGACAATTATCTACATATATTGAATTTGATATCTCGAGAAACTAAAAGTTGGATACACATGTTCCATTTTCAAAGCGTTATTATTTAACGTATTATTAGAGACCAAAAACAATGCACTTGTACGTCAAAGGTTCCGAAGCCGAAGATGTTTTCACATCATTTATCACCATAATCGATACACACAATCAGTAATTCTCAAGATCAAAAGGAACACAATTAGAATCTTTTTTTTTATTTGCATACCAAAAGACTGGCCATAACAATAAAAAAGAAATCTTGCCGTCCTTGATACCTTGTTACCCACACATTTCGATCTCGGATGACGCATCCGACTCCACTGGAATAAGCTCATAATAACACATCACGCATACCATTTACGACTTTATTTTATGCACGAATAAGTTCATATTGAAATGCAGCCAGTAATTGAGTTGTTACATTTTATTTTCCTTTGTTGTCGGGCACCAATTTATGTGATTTCAGTCCCGTCAGTCATTGACCGTAGCTTTATGGAGAATTTTTTAAATTTTCATCTCATTGCCGTGTCAATAAAATGCTGTTTGTATGATTTGTAAAAGTGAATTCGTGTTGAAATGTGAACAGTTACTTCTTTATCTTTTTAATCTTTGGCTTGTAGGTGACAAATCTTACTTTTGTCTAAAAAATCTTGCAATTGACGACTATTAGTATTGTTGGTATTGTAAAGCATAATTTAGCACCTTAAATGGGTAGTGTTTAGAAATAACATTTTGAATAGAATTTAACTATTGAATACACAACAGATTACTCTGTACGTAATAACTAGATACGTTCGAGGAAATCACGCTCAAATTGGTAAGAACTAGAAATGTATGGACATCAAATTGGAGGTATAACGTATAAGCAAACATTCAAAGAATTAAGTCCGGTTTAACATTGACTTGCTCTAGCATGTATGACACCAGTTTCACTAAAACCAATGTCTTATAAGTTAGAAGTAGTTAGAACCTAGAACATTAAATAACTAATAATGATTAACATATTTATAGTTGTGTTAACATAAATATTTATAGTCTATTTATAGCCCAAAGACGCTTAATTGATAATTTAAATTTAGTGAGATGACAACAAATATTTGAAATTCGACGTTGATGTGACATTTTTTTATAATTTGTAATGAGCTTAATGATCGCAAGTTTGGAACATAATAAGTAGAGGTAAATAAAACTTTCTCTATTGGAGGAAACGTTAAAAAATTCTTAGTAGTCGAAATAAAGCCTAAGATTGTTACGATTAACTCAAAGCTGCATACAATACAACGAGCCGTTTTATAATGAATGAAGCGGGAGTAAGTACAATAGAAGTTTAATTCATTGCCATGCGTCTGATCCCAGATTCACATTACAGTCAAATAGCAAATATTCATCAAACGGCACGCCAAAGGAAAACGTTACAAGTGCATGGGAACATTCCGCCGCAAACCGGTTCTAGCTCGAAATTATTATGTTCTCTGGCATTGCCAATCACTTGTTACTTCTTACCATAGTAACTAGAAGCCCTTTTCACTAATGAACAAAACCCCATTTGTGTACTGAACCTATTTACAAGTGTAATGTACCTTACAACCTCGAGGTTGCGTTGAATAAATTAAAATATCTCCATTTTGCGAAAATGTCAATGGTCTTAGAACTCCTAGAAAAGTCCACAGAATCTGATTTTAATAAAATATCTATTATTGAATCCTTTTTACCTGTAAATTTATAGAATTGAAGCTTTAATCAGTATTTTTTTGAAAAAAGAATAAAGTAAAACTATTCATCGCAATTAATGCTTCAGAGATCCGACTCGTCTCGAATAATATTCGCTTATTATAAGTGGAATAATATTATTAATTCACATTTCATTTCATATCGTGCGGTCGTTAAATTGACAGGAATGTTTTATGATATTGCATTTTTAATAATTATCGTGCAAGCAGAATAAGCGGCCGTACTCAAAATAAATTTCAATAAAGATAAAGTGACAAATGCATTATTCGCAACGTCAGTTTAAATCATTAAACGGTAAACGGTTAATAACACTTTGTTTGGGTTTCCCATAAAAAGCACACCTATCAATTTTATACTGAATATTTTTATGGCTCTACAAATCATAAAAATATTATTGAAATGAAATTTTGGACTGAAAGCTTAAAAAAAGCCTAAATTCACTTCATAAAATTGTAATATTCTAAAACATTTCATTTTATGCTGAGCTTTAGCGTCTTAGCAGAAAAGATAATTCAATTAAAAGATCACAAGGAAGCGAAGAAAATCAACATTGTATAACTTCACAGTTCCTGACGACAACAATGCCGAAACTTAAAGGGCAACGTCAAACGGTCAGGTGTCGAGCGTCTAATCAACTGCTACTGACCAAATCTAATTTCTGAACAAGCCGTTTCGAATCAGAACTAGTTCTCGGCCACTATCTCTCGAAAGGAACGGAAATAGGAGAAAAAAAAAGCCAAATCCTAAACGAGTAGGTGGTACTAATGACTTCACACAAATACTTGGACATTATAATGACTAGTAAGCGTAAAATTTGTTCGGCATACACCCACACAAACAAACTTTCAAAACTTTTTTGGGTTCCCTTCAAAACTGGACTTACTGGCCCTTTGTTAAGCTGCGGGGATCATTAAGTAGAATTCTGGGAATTGTATCAATATTATCTACGTTATACAAACATAAAAGCACTTTGGTATTGACCTCTCGAATTTTATGTTGATAGGTATCTGTACCTATATCTATTATGTATTTTACATATGAACTGTGAATAAAATTCAACGTGCGCAATATCAAATTCAGTTCTCTATTTGCCTTTCAAACAATACGTTTTTTTTAATAATACCTAGAAAAAAATACAATACCATGTTACCTACATTAGGTACACATCCACGGATTTTGTAGTGAATTATTAATTAAATAAAAAAACTAATTTTGATATTTATACTATTATTCAAAAACCAATTCAATTATTAAATTTAATTTCGATATTTGAAATTTTAAAATTGTTTATGTATTTTATACTTTCTATTTTAATTGGAAATAAATAATAATTGTTATGATGAATTTAATAAAAAAAACACGCAAAAGCGACAGAACCCCGAAATCAGTGAACATTTTTTGTCCTTTCGGCGACGTTAAGCCGGTATAGATGTGTGCGCAGCTACCTGCGGTATCCGGGAGCCTGTCGTGTTACAATTCAAAAATAGATGAAAAAAAATCTTATCGCTCTACACCTCGTACATAACTATTCATCTTCCTTTTCACGCCAAACTACGGCTTTGTAAACACGCAATGATAATCAAAACGGATAAACTTCATGATTTACTAGGCGGCGTATACAAACACGGTTTTTAAAGATGTTTCAATTTTAACCAGCTGACGAAATAGTGTCTAACGATGTCTAATATAAAATTATGCGTAAAGATATGCAGACACCAAAATTTTAACCATAACTATAAAAGATCCTGTATATGTAAAATTGTGTATTGTTTCTTAAATAGTATAAGTTAAATTATATGAAGTGGTAGGCAGTAGTACTCACGCGCAATCGCTGGCACGAACATAGCCAGGAGCAGCTGCAGAGGCAACTGAGCCGCCATTTTGGCAACCTGAAAAAAAGATACAGATTAAAAACTCAATCATGCGTTTTTTTTTCAAGCTTCTATAGGATGAAATGTCATATTTCACAGCCAGCATTTATTAACAAATAAAAAAAAACAAATCCAGTCGAACAATAAATTTTATTGTTCTTAATTTAAATGGGATGTAAGTTCAAGTTCAGAAGAAATTAAGATTTTATTTAAATGTTTCATTACTTTTTTTATTATTTCCTTTTTTAGACAAATAAACTTATTTTTGATAAATTAGACATCTTAAGAATGTATTTCTTGTAAACTTCATGATTTTAATAAATATATGGTTAGGTATTTGGCTAAGCATTCTCGCACCAATGATCTACCTATTAGTCATAGATTACTAGTTTAACCAGTAAATTAATGCTAACTGACGATCGTAATGGTAATTGACAACCTAATTAGGAACAATATAATCTAGTGATCAGTTGTGATCAGTTTGCTTTAATATGATTAAAAATAATAATAATATAAAAGCTTCATTTTCATCCTTAAATATGATCAAAGACGCACACAACTTAAACAAAAGTAAAACGTATTATTTATTTCAAGGATGATAAATTAAACACTAAGTTAATGATAAAAATCTATGTCCTATAAATTAAAAGGGAACGAAAGCAAATTACAAATACTTATTATACATATATTGTTACAAGAGAATGAGTGCATAAGCAACACAAATACAACACATGAAGGCAGACACCTTATAACTTTATTTAAAAGAAAGCCTATAGGTATTCAAATTATTAATTTTATTTCTACAAGATATTAAAGCGTTTTTACGTAGAATTAATGCTTTTATATCTCTATATAAATAATACATTAGCCTTCAAACTATCAACAAAGCTTAATTGTTTTCAAAAGTTCAACATATTATACGAACTGTTTTCAATTTCCATTTGAAACAACGATTTTATTGATATAGGATATAATATTTTTAAATTGCAACGTTCTGATCACATTTCAGAAGCAAAAGCACTTCTCCACTCAGCCTAGTATTTATTTCTGTCATAACCCACGTAAAAAAAGCAAAACACGATTTAAAATTAGAACGTTCGTTGTTGAAATCGGAAACCGACGCGTGCCAATAAACCAAAATAATACGTTAATAATGCGTAAACTGTTACAGACCGTTATTTATAAACAAAAAATATCTGCAACAATGTATCTTTTATTGCATAGCTCCAATACATTCTTGATCGAACGCTCGTTTAAGAGAATGTGTTGTTATTTCATCCCGACACCGCGAGATCAAACGTCAATATCTTCAGATATCAATAAAACTGACGCGCTATCATAAAATAACCATTATCACATTTACGAATACCTAATCTATGGTAATTAATAATTTATTGACTGCCCATTCGATGTTTTTGTTGTCTATTTATCACAAATTTGACATTAAGTCGCTCGTAACTGCGGCAGTATATCGTAATCATCGAGTAGTAACCAGTGAAGAAATCGCCGATCGATAACCACTTGATATTGCTGGCTAATGGCCAGCTAATAACGTTAATAGATGTTAACGCTAACGTTACAGCTCAGGTTATAGAGCTACGAACATTATTCTATAAAACTAATCACAGTTTTGCCCACACACTAACTCGATTCTGTCTTATCCTGACTTTCTTTTTCGGAGTTAACCCGAGCTTGTTAGTGGCGAAAGAACTTTGTTTTTCTAAAGTTAATTTGCCACAGATAAAAAAGGGAAGTATCAGATGTTTTTTCTTCTCACCAATCGAGAGGAACATCTCTATTGCACTCATAGGTATTACCTTTGCCAAATGCTTTTATGTAAAGTAGCCTGAACCGGCTGAGCGAAGCAGTAGCGTAGTGCTTGGCTTAATTTTCTCATCCTAGAAAGTTGCGCGAGCGTTATAGCTACCACTTTCAAACTATCGAATAAATATTCTAGTTTTATTTGAATTGAACTTTGGGCTCCTAGTTGTTTATTATGTACCTACATAACATTTTAAAGATATCATTATTAAGTAACGAAATAAGTGTGCCGATGCACACTTATTTCGTTACAGATTTATTAACAATACTCATTACATCATTTTTAGGAGGGAAAATTATATGACATACAATGACCTCTTCCTTCCTGGGAGGGGCGACAGGGAATGTCAAACTCTTACTGACTTTAAACCACCTTATGACCCTGTTCCTTCTCCTGTTCCATTCTGGGCAATCAAATCATCAATTACTCAGTATCATTAAATCCTCCAATAAAGATAAAAAATATTCGTAACACCTGTGGTAAAACGTTGATTTACAAGCAGGACTTAATGTTAGGTGGCGTATAGGTAAATTCGAGGAACAAATGCTACAAACTACGTATAATAATCATTGTAATATATATAAGTGACGATGATGGATGAGCAAACAGTTTAGTAGAAGAACCAATCGCTTTCATTACCCATTCAGCACACGCCAGAGGTACTACCACTTGTATCGGCCACTAAATAACTAGAATCGACGCATACATGTGTCGCTGACGATTCCTAGAACACCCAACACTTGTAAGATGTGGGTTAACAATTTATTGTTATTGTTTTCAGTTCGAACACAAATTTACTTCCGTCCCACAACCTCATAACTCCAATAGTAAAAATTTACTGTTTCATCTCTTTGATGTTGTAGTTTCGTACCTAGGCGTTCCGTTCCGTTTACGAAATTTAATCTGTACCATCGAATATGTTGTGGACGAGTGAAACTATGCAACCAGGTGCGATTATTTGCATTCAATTCGAAATTGAATTTTACCAATTGATCCAAAATATGCATCGGCTAACAAATGGCTACCTAGTGGAAAGCAGGCTATTTAAACTTTATACATACATCAATAAATCGTAATTCTCCGCGACCACAATAACTACAAATTGCGCCAATCATCCACAGTGATACACCTCACGTAATTACACGTAATCGCTTCAAGTTACTAAATTGAAAATCGTTTCAAAATGGCGGATTATTCAAATTAAGCGTCATATTTTAAGCTTATCGCAAATACAATATATTTTTGGTGGAAACATGCCGCAAATTCTAGTTTATTACAAATACGATGTACGAATTGCAGCGGCCAATTTTCAATGAATCTGTAGTTTTCGTTGTAATACATATACGCCACGTTGTTTCCTACTTGTTTGGTAAATAGTCTATTGAATTCACAGTACCTCCGACGTCTAGGAATTTAGTGAGCAATATAATCACGCCACGAAATTAATGGAACAAACCAAACATTGTGAATCCATTTCCGATGAGTGGAAAAGTTTCAGCTGTTTATAAAGTGGTCGAACACTGGACGTAGTATGAGAAAACAGGGTAAAGAATTATTTTTAAAACACTGAAGATAACTGGACTTTGATTTCTTAATTCCAAGAAATTAATCAAGAGTCTATTTGAAGAAGTATTTCGAATTCCATTCATTTTTGAACCATTTTAAAGTTAATCGGAAACCATTTTGTAAGTCAAAAGGATTAACTAGATTACGATAGTAGATTTCTAACTAATACAACTGTTCAAGAAATAAAGGCTATCTGTATATAATAATACTCCTCGCAAACCCGATCAAAAAGGTGCGCATTCATATATAAAGGTCCCAATCACTCCAGACGGAATAAACCGCCCTTGGATGTTCACGGTCAATGTGAAATTGCATTTCCTGCGAGGCGCCTCGCTATGCCGTCCGGCAGCATTACACCGCTCTGCACTTTTTATACCCTTCCCATCATTCAGGATTCCTGTACTAATGTCAGTCGCAACAAACAGGTGTGGGCAATCTTATCGATCCTGAATGTTCACTTTTTGTAAAACTCAGTACTCGCCGAGAACGGATTATAAAGGACAATGATTGACATATTTGATAACGATTTCACATCGCGATTCAAAATAAGATACCTATTTCTGATAACAAAAAAGTCTTGAATGTCCTCTGCGCCATGATATTTTATACTCCGAAAATTAGTAGTGTGAGAATGTCAACATGATAATCGATAACAGAAAGAATCTATATTTAAAAGCTGTAGGTATAACACGAATAAATAACTATGCTTATGGTGGATTGTACAATTATAAAAAAAGAGCATTAATTAAATTTATTTACGAACAATTTTAATTTAATGTACAATATGAAATGTTAACTATTTCAATGAAATGAAAATACCAACACAAACTGGAGTAGGTAGGTACCTCCGAACATATTTTAGATGCAATTTATTTATGCGTAAAATTTAATTTGCTTTAGGTACTACCAAACCAATTATGGTTCAAAATTTCGAAACAAGTGAAGATAGATTTACCTAATGTAAAATTAGTTTACGAATTCACATTTTGATTTACTAATTTTAGTAAATGAAGAAACTTTCAGACAAGTTACTTCAGAGAGTATGTTGGGTTGTAGATTAAAATTGAAGTGTTATTTTCATTTGTGCATGATCAAACATAACTTTAGATGTGTAGTATAGTGCTTGGTAACAACTGCAGCTGCGTGGCTTGTGGCCATTCCAGCTCACTGTAAGTTAAGACAATGATTTATGAATAATTTGCTCTTTAAACTTGTGCCTGACTAAGAATAGGCTTTCAATGTTCGCGGAGGGCGTGCAACATGAATTTCGAAATCCACTTACTTCGACCAAGTTTACTTCATAAACTATTAACTGTACATAATTCTAAACACATTACAGTATCTAATAAAATATAACAATCACACGTACCTAGCTATTACTCAACCAACTTGACAGTTAACGTTTGATATTCATTGTATATTGAATCAACAATTAGAAATGCTAAGTACGAGCCCAAACAAGACATCTAAGTAAATGACAGGGGCTCTCAATCAAAACAAACGAACGCACGATTGATAGTGTGACACATTAATCGTTGAGTTAACATATCATTACAGTTAGGAGTGTGTACATTACTATGCCGGACATGTCCTGCCGAGGACATCGTCTACGCAACCAACAGTGTTGTCT